ACAATTCTTGAGACAAATCTTATTTATTTAAAATATTTATTACATTATTTATGTAATATATTTAGATATTATAAATTTTATATCATAGCTTGAAAACTTATTTTTATAGTTTCTCAAAATATACTTTTTACATGCTAGCATTTTCTTCTTGGATATTTCATTTGTATTTGGTTAATATGGAAGTATACATGAACATAGTGAATAACAATTTTTCGTAATATATATATATATACAAATATTGATATTTATATTGATATTTATATATTGATATTTATACATTGATATTTATATATTGATATTTATATTGATATTTATATATTGATATTTATATACTAATATTTATATGTTTATATTTATGTATTGATATTTATATTGATATATTTATATATAACATAATATTATATATATAATATAAATGATATTTATATCTAATATAAATTACTTGAGACACTTTCTTTTTCGATGATACACTTTAGACAGTAATTATAAGTTCGGAAAATGTGAACTTTGGACCTGCGATACTCGAGCAAGATAGTAGAAAATCAGTGATAATGCCTTTAAACTTCAGAAGTCATTAGTACATTATTTCATGGTCCTTAAAAGTTACTCTATAGTTTGATTTCGATTACCCGTTATACTCGTCATCATTAAACAGCAATAAAAAACCAGAGAATGAAGAACAGATGAAGAACAAAATCCGCATGTTAGGTTATGTCAAGATTATTTTCATTGTAGTTCATATGTTGCGACTTCGAATGACCTTCATTTATAGATCATTGTATTCGTCTTGAAAGGCTCTATCAGAATGCGAATCAAAAATTAATTCACCCCATTTAAGAAAACAAGTTTGACCTCCATTATGTCCTCTAAGAGTTCCTCGTAGTTTTTTCCATTTCTCTAATTATTTATCGCTTAATCCAGCAATCTGCGACAACAATTACAAAGCATAAATAAGTATAAATTACTTTCAAAAATTAGGGTCACTCATTATTTGTGACGCGCGAGTTTCTCACAGTCTTCTCCATTTCTCTAATTATTCATCGCATGATCCAGCAATCTGCGACAACAATTACAAAGCATAAATATCTATAAATAACTTTCAAAAATTAGGGTCACTCACTATTTGTGGCGTGCGAGTTCCTCGCAGTCTTCTCCATCTCTTTTATTATTTATCGCATGATCCAGCAATCTGCGACAATAATTACAAACTATAAACAACTATGAATTATTATAAATAACTTTCAAAACATAAACGACCTGTATAATCGAGGTCACCGCATACCGATCTCTCCTTTAAAAATAAGAGGAGAACGCGGCCGCCGAATCCGCGGGGAAAATAGCAGCCGCGGCGGCGCGCGATTAAACGCGTGCGGCAGTTTCAATTTTCTCTGAAGTCAAGTTCCTAGCGAATTAGATGGTTAGGAATTAGACTCGTGAAGCGGTCTTGTTGTTGTTGTGTTGGCAGAGTCGTAGCGGGCGGCAATCCCCGGAGCCTCGCTCGTCGTGGCCGACTGTCCCGGCTTCTACAGTTCAAGCATAACGGAGGGTATCTGTATCGTTTCCAAAGCAAATGACGAATCAAACGGCAAAGAATCAAAGACCATGTCGAGAGAACGGAACGAATGAGTGGTGCGTGCGAGCGCAAAACCGAGATCGGAAGCGAGAGAATGGGTCGGCGTGGAGAACGATTGGGACGAAACGATTGCCAGAGTCGCGCACGTGTGCCTGTAATAGTAGTCGTCGTGATAGCTGATAAGGCCGGCTTGAAGGCGACCAGTGATTCAGTCGAGTGACGAACACCAGTTACTTGCTGCTAAAAGGTGACGAAGATAAAAACATGTTCAGATCGATGCAGTCGAGTTTTCGAAATCAGAGATGGACATTGATATTGATTAATTATGGACAGGCGCGTTTTTTGCAACTTCTGTGAACATTCCGGATTTCTATTTTGATACACAGGTGATCGAGAAGGGAATGTAGTGATTGCTCAGGCGATTTGGAGTAAATTTTTCCTTAGCGAAAATGTTCTCCGTCGCTTCGTTAACGAGTTATTCACGAAAAACGTGGACCAATCGGAGCGCGGGTTCGGCTGGCGTGTACCCACGGCAGAGCGAGCTCGACGTAGCGGCGGCCGCGGCGGCGCATCGGGGCGTGGCCGCAGCCGTATTCGTTCTTCGATTGGTCCGCGTTTTTCATTAATAACTCGTTAACGAAGCTGCGGAGAGCATTTTCGCTAAGGAAAAAGTTGCTTGAAATCACCTCGGGAATCATCGTTCTTCAGTTGCACCGGCAATTCTGGAATAACTTGTATTGTTGTTGATCGAGTCAAATTTTTAACGGATTTATAAATACATATAACATATATAGTACTGTTTATATATACATATAATATAATATAAATATATATAATATATATAATATTGTTTATATATATTTATATGTATATTATATAGTATTGTTTATATGTATATATATATATATATATATATATATATATATATATATATATATATATATTATTATATATAATATAATAATCGACGAAAAAATAGAAATGGATCTTCTCGACTAAATTAACTTAGTAACATACTCATCCAAATTCTATTGTCCACTGTTCACGCATAATTAATTACTAAATTACTCGTCACTCTACTAAATTACTGGCCGTATTTAAAACGACCAATAGTGTGTCCGAAGGAACAAATGATGCGAGTCTGAAAGGTAATGCTGAACGAACGAAACAACGTATACTGAGGGATAAATGCGAATGGAAGGGATTAGACGGTTAAACGACGAATAAATTCAAAGACAAATAACTTCTGATACGGGACGTCGCGTATACGGACACACACACACACATTCCCTAGAATATATAGCGCAGTATCTGAATAAAGCGAATTTCGTGCTACGAGAGTTCGCTGAATAATTCGGATGCCATTTCTTTGCTTACATGTACCGTGTGTAATAGTTGTAACTTTCTTTGCAGCTGCTTGGTAAGGCATGGTGAATTTTTTATCCAAACTGTACACGAAGGAACACCTGAAAAGTATTCGGTCCCGTTTTGGGAAACGTTTTTTCACTGCATCTGTACAAATGTCAACAAACGAAGACGATGTTTTCATTTTCAGGATTTAATATAATTGATATAATTGATATAATTGATACTTGAGATATGTTCGCATGTTATTTATGCAAGTACTTCATGCTGCCGATAGTGGTAGCATAAAATTTAATTAGAAATTGTAAAGCTGAGATATGAGAAAATTATAATTTAAGTAGATGGATGAAACAATTTGACTTTAGACATATACAGGATGTTCCAAGATTATGGTATTTCCGGGAAACGTGGGGTCCTTGAGATCATTCGAAGCAACTTTTTCCTTTACAAAAATGTATTATTATATATATATATATATATATATAATAAATAAATTCAATATATATATATATATTGAATTTATTTATTTTATATTTTATATATAAATAATATATATTAGTAATATATACTATATACTAAATTCAATATATAAAATAAAATCTATAAAATATAAATATATATAAATATAAATATATACGATGGTTTTAATATTACACACTTCTACGTGTGTCACGAAATGCATCAATAGATGCATAATATAGGAAAGCTATGATTATCACCAGCATGAATAATCAATACAAATATAAATGAGTTCCTAGATTTCATTCCCAGGCTCCTGCTGTATTCTGATGGGAAAGGAAATTAGCTTCTTAATAACATACGCATACGCAATGTCGTCCAGTTACAACGTTTTCGTTACTGAACAAAGAACTGACTATAAGACACTCCTTAATCTCCAGTTTTTTAATTGTGTTTTGTTCCAAATTCTTCCACGTACACTCAATAAACCTTTTTAATTCATTTGTGGCGTTAAATTGCTCTCCTCTTCAGTATACTTCCTCAGCTAGCATCCCTAGACAGTTCTCAATAATTTTCATATCCGGCGATCTTACTGGCCAATAAAAAACAGTAAAATATCAATATTTTTACCTTCAAAATAAGCTCGCGTTGTTCTTGCAGTATGCACAGCTGTGTTATCATGTTGAAAGATATACTTTTGCTTCGCTATATTTTGTGCATGATATTGAGATATTGATATTGAGATATTAATATCGAGAGATATTGAGATATTGAGATATTGAGATATTGAGAGATATTGAGATATTGAGATATTGATACTGATATTGAGATATTGATACTGATATTGAGATATTGAGATATTGATATTGATATTGAGAGATTGATATTGAGATATCGATATTGAGACATCGATATTGAGACATCGATATTGAGACATCGATATTGAGACATCGATATTGAGACATCGATATTGAGACATCGATATTGAGACATCGATATTGAGACATCGATATTGAGACATCGATATTGAGACATCGATATTGAGACATCGATATTGAGACATCGATATTGAGACATCGATATTGAGACATCGATATTGAGACATCGATATTGAGACATCGATATTGAGACATCGATATTGAGACATCGATATTGAGACATCGATATTGAGACATCGATATTGAGACATCGATATTGAGACATCGATATTGAGACATCGATATTGAGACATCGATATTGAGACATCGATATTGAGACATCGATATTGAGACATCGATATTGAGACATCGATATTGAGACATCGATATTGAGACATCGATATTGAGACATCGATATTGAGACATCGATATTGAGACATCGATATTGAGACATCGATATTGAGACATCGATATTGAGACATCGATATTGAGACATCGATATTGAGACATCGATATTGAGACATCGATATTGAGACATCGATATTGAGACATCGATATTGAGACATCGATATTGAGACATCGATATTGAGACATCGATATTGAGACATCGATATTGAGACATCGATATTGAGACATCGATATTGAGACATCGATATTGAGACATCGATATTGAGACATCGATATTGAGACATCGATATTGAGACATCGATATTGAGACATCGATATTGAGACATCGATATTGAGACATCGATATTGAGACATCGATATTGAGACATCGATATTGAGACATCGATATTGAGACATCGATATTGAGACATCGATATTGAGACATCGATATTGAGACATCGATATTGAGACATCGATATTGAGACATCGATATTGAGACATCGATATTGAGACATCGATATTGAGACATCGATATTGAGACATCGATATTGAGACATCGATATTGAGACATCGATATTGAGACATCGATATTGAGACATCGATATTGAGACATCGATATTGAGACATCGATATTGAGACATCGATATTGAGACATCGATATTGAGACATCGATATTGAGACATCGATATTGAGACATCGATATTGAGACATCGATATTGAGACATCGATANATTGACATTGACATTGACATTGACATTGACATTGACATTGACATTGACATTGACATTGATATCATTGTTGGCAACCGGTGACTCTAAAAATAAGCCACGAGCCTCGAATAATCGCATCTCCACCTCTTCCCAATGGGAATAGAAAACCGGGCAACAATAAAGTTTCAATTCCCAAGCACATTCCTAAAAAACAAAGAAAAAATAACAAATCCGCTTAAATAAAAAGTATCGCTCTAATTTACCCATCACCGAACCGGAGCAACGAAAGAAACAAAAATCTGCAAAGCAAAAGATAAACTCCGAACGCGCGGTATAGCGAGCGATTACGTTTTCGACGAACAGAAAGTAAGTTTCGGATGGGTTCTTCTTAAGCCGTGGAATTTATGCGACGTGCACGTACGCGCCGGTAACCAGAGAACGCTTTCACGCAGGCAAATTAGAGTATTCACGGTGGCCGGCCGGCACAGGCTTTGGCGACAGGACAAGAGTGCCCGGCGAAGCCGGCAATTACTCTTTGTCCGAAGAGGTATCGGTAAATAGATGCCGACGCCGCAACGACACGCACGGGACCCGCCTTCCTATCTGTACGCGGCCGGTGATCGATGAACGTCGGAATCGTTTCTCACGCTGCCCGTGAAACTGAACGCGCGAGAAAAACTAGCGTACAGCCCGGGCCACCCCGGGGGAGAAAAACTACTACGAAGGCCGTAGGAACTCCTCGGGAAAGGGACGTCGTCTCGACCGTGATGTCCGTCGTCCGTGACAGACGGATAGATAAGCGAGACCACGTTAACGTCAATCTCTGAAAGGCACAGATGACTTTTTAGGCGACGCATGGCGGGGGAACGCGGCGTTTTGACGATTTATAATAATAATAACCTTCCAAATCGTTCGAGATCATTAAAATCGAGAGGATCTAGGGGGGGATCGGACCTCGAGTCATTAATGTTTCGTGCAGTGTTAGGCGTTAATCGAATAAATATTTATCACGATAACGATTATTCATTATTTGTCTCATAAATTATTTTATAATAATATAATAATATAATATAATAATAATAGTAATAATAATATATATACTGTAATTTATTATATATGTATATATATTATTATT